CCCCAGACCGGTGGAGCGCAGCTGCCCACTTCCAGCTTTTCCATGGCCGTGACCCCAGCGTTCCCCCGATCCCAAAGAGACCCTAAATGGCGCTCCGTGGCAACCTCCGTGAATTCGCAGGCTTCCACCTCGTTAAGATTTCTCCTTGGAAGAAGGTACTGGAGACCCTCGTTAAGTGCCCTGCGGACTTTTGGGGGCAGACATTTACTGAGAAGGTAACTATGTATTACCCTGAAGTGTCTGACATGCAAATGAAGGGTGTCCAAGTCTGTGGGATGCGCTCAACCTTCTGTTTATTTTGCAAAACAGAACTAGACCGTGGCTTGTTTTTCACAACAGGCAACGTTGTTATTATTTAACTGTGGGGTAGGGTTCATTCAGCCTCCACCTATCAAGTAGCTGAACTGTCGCGTACTCACTCAATACTAAACTTTATCTGCATGTGTTTTGGTTTTTCAGGTACCTGCCAACAATTCAGGACAAGAGCAGTAGTCCTAAATGCTGACTGGAACCTTGGAGCAGTGTGTGGGTGGAGCTTGTTAACTCTTACCTGTCCAGTGGCTTCATCAGGGTGCTATTTTTTGAAGGGCTTCAGTAGTTTCTCTGGGACTGCAGATTGTCTGGGAACAATTTTTCAATGGGTGGAGAGCTCTTCTCCAGGTACCTTTACAGGAAGACCCTTCTCCCTGGATTGCTGTTCACCAAGCCTCCTGCTGTGCTACAGGGTAAGCCTAGTTGGACTTACCCAAATGCCAATTAAGTAATTGGCTTCTCATCAATGAGTGACAGTTCCTACATCTAGCTTCAGAATGCCATTGCCCTTAACACCCTTCCCATCCTCACACTTGTGCATTTATCTTTTTCTCTTTTTCTTTCTTTCTTTCTTTCAGTGCTGAGGATTGAAACCAGGGCCTCAGGCATGCTCAGGGTGCACTCTGCCACTAAGCTGTACCACCAGTCTTCTGGATTTGAGCTATCCGTGATGCCTATGTTTGAGTCGACCTTTGTCCCAGAAAGTTCAGGTACACTTTTACAGTTACAACTTGACTGGGGTTAAAAGAGACCAGCCCAACATGACCACAGGGGTTGGAGAAAGGCAAGCCAGATGGAGGAGCCAGTTCTGGTTATCAGAAAAGGTAGATTCAAGGAAGTTGGAGCTGAGGAACAAGAACACAGCCCAAAGGTGAGAAAGAGCTCAAGGAGAGGCTGGTGGGGAGACAGGACACTGAATCCAGCCTAAGGGGTCAGGAGGGCTTAGGACATAAACTGGGTGATCCAGGAAATTCTGCCCAAGGCACAGGAAATATTTCATGAGTGGACACACACTTGTTCAACAGATGCCTTTGGTCCTTAATCTCATGAGTTCCCTAGAAGTACCTCTGTGGCAGGGTGGGATTTGTCTATGTTTCACAGCTTTGCAGAGTGAGTTCATACTGCGGGCAACAGTACAGGGGCCTACAGAGTGTCAGGAGGCTTCGGGGCAGTAGGTGGTTATGGCCCAAGTATAGGGGCCTTCAGAGTATCTAGAGGCTTCAGGGCAGAAGATGGATATGGCCCAAGTTGTGGGTAAGCAGGACAGCTGGGTCTTATGTTCTTTGAGTATAGGAGATGACTGCAAAGTCTTAAGGTGATGGGACTGGTGTACCTACTGGGCTGGAGTCAACCTTGCTAGGATACCACATATGGCTGACCCAGCTGTGCCTTAGCAGGAGTACATATTCTGTCCCAGTTTCTCCACTCCCCCCCCTCTCATTGACTGCATCCCCAAAGGCTCATCTCCCAGGAGAGCTGCTGCTCAGGGGAAGGCCAACCCCACCCAGATCTCCTTGCTTCCTCCACCAACCTGCAACTACCAGTGGGACACAGGTGTCTTAGTCCCACACTGGGCTGCAGACAAGCCGCATATTCACCCTGTACTTTCTCCAGGGGACTCGGGTTGAAGCTCTGTGAGGAAGACACCCTGCTGACACATCTGTGTTATGTGTGTTTAATACTGTCTGCATTGCATTAGAGTGAAACAAGCACCAGGCTATTATTGTTCACAATGTTTAAAAAGAAACCTTTACTAGGAAGACATCTGAACACCCCTGGAGCCAAGAGAAGAGGCTGAGGCCATGGACTTCCACATGCCTGTACACAAAATTATAACTTACATCCATTTCAAGTTGTAAATGCTATCGTTTTGGGTCCCACCCCCCCTTTCTCCTCTGGGTTAAAAAGACCATTGCCTACCCTGGCAGTGAAGCCCCAGATCAGGAGAGGCACTGGTCTGCTTAACCATATAGGAGTCAAATGGCCCCACTCCATCCATCTGTCCTCAGCATTAAGGGGCATTATACTGGGGAACGTGGCTTCAGAAGAAGGCTGAACATTACATAGGCTTAAGTAATGACAAGTCCTTCTTGTTCAGCTGTTTGTCCACTTTCCAACCAAGGTAGAACAGGTCATGTAGCCACCAAACCCAACAAAAATAAGCAGCCCTGTCTTGTTTCCTCTGCAGTTCTTATCAGTGCTTTGGATGTAAAGATTCCTGGACTTTGGTAACAGGAGCTCGTGACAGAACCAAGATGGGAATGTGAATGCGTGCTGCCGGGAAGCCAGTATCCCTGCTCTGTCTTTCCAAGGCTGACAGCCACATCCCCTCCCTCAGCGCTGCACTGCCTGTGAGTCAGCTGTGTGGCCAGGTCAGACCCTCAGGCCTGGCTGACTACATTGAGGCCTGGGGGCTGAGGTATGTGAAACTGAGCCAGTCCCCCGGCTTCTAGTATCAGCTCTGTCGTGGGCAACTCGCTTTTCCTCTCTGTGTCTCAATTTACTCGTCTTTAAAGTGAGCAAACTAGCACAGGGTTCATGGGCTGACAAGAGGAACTTCCCCACATCTAGAATGGGCTGGTACCCACCTGAAGAGCACCCTCTAGGGGCCCAAATTTTTTCCTCTTTTTCCCAGAGAAGGTAGTTGAGGCTTAGAGCCCAACTACTTGCCCAAGTCCTACATCCTAACTCTCATTCCTCTGTAGCCTCCTATTTGCTGGGTCAGATCCAAAGCAGCTCTGGAGGAACTGAGGCCTGGGCATGGGGGGTGGGAGAGGGAGATGTCACCAGCTGCCAGTTTCTGTGAAGATTTCTTCATGCCTGCACTTCTCCTCCTCACCTTAGCATGAGTCATGAGACAGTGAAAAGGCATCAGCATGCAGGGCTGCCTTTTTGGCACCAGGTCCATCCTCCTGGTGTCTCTGCATATGACCTCTTTGAGGACACAGGTGTATCCCAAAGCTGAACTGGCAAATCTTGTCACTTGTACAAATGGAAGTGCGCCAGAGAATCTTCCTGGTGCCTGGTTAGCACGCATAGGGCTTCTCCCCATTGTGGGCCTGCAGTGGACACAGGCCTTTAGCTGTGAAAGGGATTCACAGAAGGTTGGGGAAGGGTAGAAGTGTGCCCTTAGGACTCGGCAGGCGTTAGGGCCGTGGGTGAACCTGAGGAAGGAGTGGCTTTGGCTTCCTTCCCATGTACACCTTCTGAGGAGGTCTCCGAAGGAGACCTGGCCTGGGCACGCATCCCGGCCTTGGGTCGCCTCAAGGCCTTCTCACCAGTATGGATCCTCTGGTGGTGGAAGAGGGCTGGGCGCTCACGGAAAGCGCGGCCGCACTGTGTGCACACAAAGGGCTTCTCTCCTGTGTGGATGCGCCGGTGGCTAAGCAGCACTGCTCCCTTGGCAAAGGCCTTGCCACAGTCCCCACAACGGAAGGGCCGCTCACCTGTGTGGAGCAGCTGATGCTGTGTGAGATTGGAGCTGTGGCTGAAGGCACGGCCACACTGCGCGCAGGCGAAAGGTTTCTCACCCGTGTGCACCCTCTGGTGCTTAAAGAGCGAAGAGCCCTGGCTGAAGGCGGCACCACAGAGCGCACAGGCATAGGGCTTCTCACCCGTGTGTGTGCGCTCATGCTGGATCAGGTGCGAGTTGCGGCAGAAGCGGCGGCCACACTGGGCACAGGCGTAGGGCCTCCCGCCTGCGTGGATCTTGCGGTGCTGGCTGAGGTTGGAGCCGTGGCTGAAGGCCTTGCCACACTCGCTGCAGCGGAAGGACTTCTCTGCTGTGTGGATACGTTGGTGCCGCACCAGTGAGGAGCTGTGCCGAAAGGCTTTGCCGCAGGCAGGGCATGCATAAGGCGTCTCGCCACTGTGGATGCGCTGGTGCTGTGTCAAGTGTGATGTCTGGCTGAAGGCCTTGCCACACTGTGCACACTCATAAGGACGCTCACCAGTGTGGGTGCGCAGGTGCTTGAGGAGGTCTGAGCTCTTCACAAACACTTTGCTGCATGCCCTGCATTCAAAGGGCTTCTCCCCAGGGAGCAGACCGGGAGCAGCATGGAGCGCCTCGCCCAGCTCTTTCCAGGTTGGGGCCTCTTGGGTACCCATGAGTCTCTGAGGCTCATGCCAGTTTGTGTCCATTCCCCGTTCTCCCCCACTGCAGATGGTTCTGAGGTCTGGATTGCTTGGGAAGGCTCTGGGGTGAGCTTGCTGCACGTGTGGCTTCTGTAGCTCCGCCATCTGTGGCAACTTCCCTGGAGCGGGGCAGTCTGTAAGGACTTTCTCTCTAGACTGGTCACTCTCAGAAGCCCTCAGTGGGGAGGTCAGTCGCAGGCTGATGCTGCCTTTACCACTGCCTGAGCCTAGCAGGAGCCTCTCCCAGTAGATCACTGACACACCTGTAGGTTTTCTCTCTCCAGATGAGAAGGCATCCCGTTTTCCCACCAGGCTGGGACCAGTAGGTGTCTCAGGGGAGCTATGCAGGAAGGCCCCTGGCAGTGTCGGTTCTCCAGAAACATCTCTGTCCTCTGCCAGACAGCAGGAACCTGAGGGTAGAGGAATGATGGCTGCCTGGGGCATCTAGCCAGGATGTGACCACAGCAGGCTGCTGGGAAGGCAGGGGGAACCCAGGGGATGGACGAAAAAGCCTAGGGAGAAAAGCGGAAGCCTACGCGGGCCCTGCAGGAAGCGGGTGGAAGAAGCATCTGCCCTGACAGGTATGGCATTCGCTGTATCTGCACCCCCATGGTCAAGAGGAAAGCCCCAGACAACCAGATGTGGGAGTACAGAGAACTTGGCATCTCTTACATACCACCTAAGCCTCTGCTGGCTATCCCTACCACAGATCCCTCCCCACAGTTCATTCCCCAGCCTGCTTTTTCTCCTTGCTCTGATTTGTTTCTGAAGCTATAGAAAATTCATGAACAGTTTACTCACTGCCTCTCCCCTGGCATCAGCCCCTAAGAGCAGGACAAGGAGTGTCCTCATCAAGGTAGTGTTCCCAGGACCTGGAACAGGCCTGGTCAGAGCAGGCACTCAAGCAACATCTGGACACATGAATGAAGGGAGGAAGGAATACCCAACAGATGTAACAGCTAGATGTGGAGGTCTGAAGCTGTACCACCCAGTTGAAGGAAGGACTCGGAACAGATCTCACCACAGTCAGGTGACTTCCTATGTGAAATCAGATCCTATGTTTTTAGACCCAGGCCACAGCCTCCAAGACAGGATGATGAAAGAAGGGAAAAGAGGCAGATGGGCAGCCAGAGGAGACAGTATGTCTACAGGAGGGGAGACAGAGGCTGGGCCACCGGTTGGTCCCAAGTTCACCCCTACCTTGAGCCCCAACTCACCAAGGCTGGACTTTCTGTGGGCATTCCTGCCCAGGGCTGTATCTGTCCCACTGGGAACCCAAGGCTCCTCACCATGCTCCAGCTGGATGACCACACGAGGTCGGGAGGCAGAGAGTCCTATGAACAAGGTGGTTCAAGTGAGAGGCCACGTCAAGTCAGGACCACCCATCCCACAGAAGATGGCAGGAGTCAGGGCTTCCTGGAAATAGATGATATTATCTGTGCAATCAGGAAAACCTGGGGTCACAACAGGGCAGGGGCTCAGTGGGACAGCTCAAGGATCCCTGCAAGCAGCATATGTGCTGGGGCACCACAGGAAGAGGACTGAGCCCAGGCACAGGAGACTCAGTCAGATGGGGCCACAGGGTACGATGGAGCAGCCTGCACATCTCCAGATCCTGACCCTTGCCTCATGTGGCATCTAGCCAGAAGGTCCTACTCTTGGGTGGGTGGGAAGGTGAGATGATAGTCCTGATGACCCAGCCAGTTACCAACTTGGAGGACCCAGGGCCTTACCCAGTGAGGCCACAAGCGCAAAGTTCCCCAGCATCACGTGGCGGTACAGGGCCCTCTGGGCTGTATCCAGGAGCATCCACTCTTCCCGGGAGAAATACACAGCTATGTCCTCAAAGGCAATCAGGCCCTACGACAGCAAGCAGTCTAAGGTATGGCTGTGACTCAGAACTCAGATCCCTGTCCCCATGGTCACCATCCTTGGCACTTTCTGAACATTCATGATCTTCCTGGGGTTCTATTCCAGCGCTATCTTCAGGTGGCACTTCCTCCACCCATCTGGGCCCCCTTCCTTCCACCTTTCCTGTTCAGGCCACAGAAGCGCTCTCAGCCTCTCCCCTGGCTAGTTTACACAAGCAAGTGACAGCCATCCTCATGGTTCTTGGCTGGCATCCACTCAACCCAGCAAGACCACTCATGACCCTACCCAAATGTGTCCTTCCTAGGCCGGCACAAGCAACTGTGTAAGTCCCAGCTGTGGATACCCCAGGGTGTGCCCACTCTAGGATCCTCCCTGCTGTGCCCCTGACATTTCCAGGCTGGTCCTGGAAATCAGTTGCCACAGGAGGGTGGTCCAAAGGGCCTGGTGGACACACAGGAAATCAATACCCTACTGCCCCCTAGCATTGTCCCCTCTATTTCTTCACTCTTTTTCCACCCTCCCCTCCTTCAGCCACCTGCCAGACTCTTGCCCTGACAACTCCAGTTATTCCCAACCATTTTCCTCTCTCTAGGAAACTGAAACTGACCATCCTCCACTGAGTCTGTGAGATCACCCCCTCCTCAGTCCACTTCCCAAACTCTGCTTTGGCTCAGGACACCTACAATGTCAACTTCACTGTCAGACATGGCAAACTCCTGATCTTTCCTCTGTGAGTGTGTGTGTGTGTGGGGGGGACTTAGGCTTCTGACAAGCTTCCAACTGTGCTTCACTCACAACACTTGCTCATACCCCACACACCTGATACAAACGCAGCTCTACATAATTGAAACTTTTCCCCTACAAATCTCCCCATCCAGTCCAGGAGCCATCCTTTGCTCACCTGGGCCGTGGTAGGAACCTTCACCCTTCATACGGACACACCTCTCCACATGTGTTCTCCACTCAGCACGAGGTGAGATGCTTTCAAAATCCTAACTGGGAGGACGTCTGGTCTCTCTTCAACACTTCCCATGGCTCCCACGCCCTTGGGATACAGTCCCCACTCCTCTACCTGCCATTTCCGTCCCAAGACTCCTCTCCCTGTATTCCACATCCAGGACGCTGTGCCCCAGAACCCAGGTGTCTCCGCTCCCAGCCTTGGCACGTGTGGGACCTTCTCACACCTGCACGCCTCCCGGACCTGGACGACCGGGTTTGGAGGGCACCGGTTCCCGCCCGAGCAGCAAGAGGGCACAAGGACCTCTCGTCCCTGAGGCTCGGGGTCCTCGGAAGGGGTCTCCCTACTCACCGGCGCCGGGTCTGCCAGCCCCCCTGCCGCCGCCATCGGAGTCTGCAGCCGAGAAGGGGCAGAAAGGGTGCACGACCAGCCCCGCCAACTGCCCGCAGCCTCGCGCAGCCTCCCGGGCCTCGGTCTCGCGGTCGGCCCAGGGCAGGTGGCGCCCGGGAAGCCGCCGCAGCGCTGCGGCCGGGGCCGAGGAGCGCCAAGCTCCGGCACCGCCCTCGCGCTCCGGGAAACCGAGGCTTGGCAGTCGGGCGGCGGCGGTGCGCAGGCGGCACGAGGCCGGTCTTCCTCCAGGACCTTCCTCGCCTTCTCGTCTCGGGACCCAGAGGCTCCGGTACAGCCGGCCCCGCCTCTAGGGTACCCTCCGGAGAGCCGCAGTGGCCTGACGCCAGGCAGCCGGGTGACAGTCCCGAGCGCCGGAAGTCGGCCCCGGCCCCCGGGGGCAGGCGCACGTGGCGGACGCACGCGCAGAGCCCTCTGGGTGCTGTAGTTCCCACGGCCTTGCCGCGCGGGAGCCGCGGGTCTGTTCTCCTGGCAACGGCGAGCGTCGGCGCGAGGCCTTCTACTGAACCCCGCCGGCCCTCAGCGCAGCTTGGGCTGCTGGCTGGGCCACCTGTGCCGAGGATCCCCGGTCCCAGAGCGCAGCGAAGCAGCCCCGGAGACTCAGCCTTGAAGATGCCAGAGGAAAAGTTCCGAGAGTCCATGGGGAGCCACCAGCAAGGGGCGCAAAGGAGAGAATGGAGTCAGAGGAGTCTCCGCCTAGAGTTGGGAGTTCAAATCCGACCCTTCCCTGACCATGTCCTGCTGTGCGCCCTGAGGAGAGGTTTGGACTTCTTTGTGCGTGACTGTGTTGGAAAGAGACCTATCGGTTTCGCCACCTCTACCCTCCATTCTCCGTGTAGACTTGGATTTCAGAAGTTCCCTCCCAGTCTTACTTGTCTAGTGAGGCGCTCTAGTGCTTGCCTTACCCCACACCTCACACGTGGACTTCCCTTCTCTCAGACCAATTCAAGGGCAGCACTGAACACCAAGGCAGGATGCGCTCAAGGCAGACCGACACTGTTTCTGGCAGAGAATAAAAGAGCCCCACAGGGGTCAGGGTTGCAGCTCAGTGGTACAGTGCTTGCCTCGCTGCGTGAGGCACTGGGTTGGATCCTCAGCACCACATAAAAATGAATGAATGAATGAATAAAACGAAGGTTAAAAAAAAGAATGCTTAAAAAAGAGAGAGAGCTCTCCCGTCTGGGCATGATGGCTCATGGTGGCTCATGCCTATAATCCCAATGACTCAGAAGGCTGAGGCAAAGGAACCTAAATTTCAAGGCCAGCCTTAGAAACTTGGTGAGACTGTCTTAAAAAATAAAAAGGGCTGTTGCTGTACTCGGTGGTAAACCACCCATGGGGGTTCAATCTTCAATAACAGAAAACAACAAAAACAGAGTAGTTGCAAGCCCTGGCACCATGCTGAAGGATTCTATGTCCTTTATCTGTCACTGAGGAAACCCTGCCATTACCACACCCATTTTAACACTGGAGAACATGAGCCACATGTTCCAGAGTACTGAGCTGACCACTGGCTGGGGTGAGATGTCAGCCTACACATATATGCCTTTAACCACTTCACCATCTCAGGACTTACTTTCAATTCAGCTTTAAATAAAAGAAATGGTTGTGTGCAAACTGCAAAGTCGGGGACTTAATAAGCTCTCAGTAAGTATAGCTATTGCTTCACTACTGTTCAAGATAGGTTTGATTGAAGCATGAGTAGGGCTTCTTGTGTCACTGGCAGGGGAAGGTGTTCCCAGCACAGGGCAGTGCACCCGCAAGGTCTTTATTTGTATGTGGTGCTGAGGATCGAGCCCAGCGCTCCATGCATGCCAGGCCAGCGGGCTACCGCTTGAGCCACATCCCCAGCCCCCAGCCTGGGTTTTTAAAGTGGGAGAAAGGTTAGGTCTGGCCAAGGGGGCTTCATGAGTGAGAAAGGGAGCCTGGGCAAGGGAGTGCTGTGAGGTACTGGAGTCTACAGACCCCTGAGGAGTTAGATTTCATCCTAGGGCAAGGGGAAGTAAAGTCTGCAGGAGGTGTGAGAAATGGAAACTTTTGGTTGTCCATTTTCAAAATATAGTATTAAGGCTGGCACAGTAGGGCACGCCTATAACCTTGGGAGGCTGAGCAGGATTGTGAGTTCAAAGCCAGCCTTAGCAACATAGCAAGGCACTTAGAAACTCAGATCTTCTCTCTAAATAAAATATAAAGGCTGGGGATGTGGTTCGGTGGTTAAGTATCCTGTGTTTCTAACAATTTTGGCACCCAAGGTGGGGCTCCATTCATCACCTAGGGAGTCATAGGGACTCCTTCCTTAGAGGAGATGTCTTACTATCTTCTTGTGGCCTCAGAGTGGGGGGCGAAACCTGAGATTCCTGAGGCCAATAGGGGACTCAAAATAAAAAAGTGGATCAGCAGGTTGGAGCTGTAGCTCAGTGGCAGAGCGCTGGGTTTGATCCTTAGCACAACATAAAAATAAAGAAATAAAATAAAGGCATGCTGTCCGTCTACAACTAAAAAACAAACAAACAAACAAACAAACAAAGTGGATTAACAACATAGAGAAAGGGCCCTAGCAAGCATTCCAGTGACCAAGGTAGGAAAATCTGTTCCCCAGGAAGAAGCACCTCCTCAGTGGTCAGACATCCTGGAGGCTGTGTGAGTGTGATTGAGATGTGAATGCAAGTCCAAGGAGCTGGATGGGGGTGGGCAAGAGATCCCCAGTAAAAGGGATTGAGCAAATGGGGGGTGGGATGTGTAAGATACCTCCAGTAAGGGGGGTTGTTATAGGAACCTACAAGAAAAGAGGGAATAAAAATTCTAAGCCTAGAGACAAGGAAGGACAATGGAAAGAGTCCATGTGAAGTCTTCTTTTCCTTTGAAGAGTCCTAAGTAGGGAAAATAAACAGTGGTGATGGTGGGAGTAAACCTGTCCCCATGCAGGATGAATGGCCACCTGAACATTTGATTTTAGAATCCATCCTGGCTGACAGACTCTATTCCTAATGTTCCCACCTGCTCTTTTCATGTGTAAGTCATCGTGTAAAAATCTGTGACTGGCTCTATTTTAATTTCTGAAGGGTTAATTTTATTTTTTTGCCTTCTACCTGTATGAATTTAATACCTGGTAAAGAGCTACCAAATCTTTGTTTCTTGTCTGTTTTATGAATACTTGTGCATACCTGGATATTGTACGCTGTGCCTATCTATGTGCTTGTGTCTAATTATGTACATAGTATCAAAATTGGCTTTTAGATAAATGAGCACTCATGTAATGAATGGATCCAAGTGCCTTTCAGTTGACCTGACTTAAATAAAATTTTAACAACAAGGGTCAATCTAAATTGGTAAGAGTAAAGATGTCTTTGAGGGCTAGGGTTGTGGCTTAGTGGCAGAGTGCTTTCCTAGCATGTGTGAGATTTTGGGGTTCAATTCTCAGCACCGTGTATGAATAAATAAAATAAAGTTCCATTGACAACTAAAAAAAAAAAAAGATGTCTTTGAAATTACAACCTACTTGTTTTGTTTTTCTTTTTTTAAATTTTTATTTTTTATTTTTTTGTAGTAGAGCACTTGCCTCGCACAGGTAAGACACTGGGTTCAATCCTCAGCACCACATAAAAATAAATAAAATAAAGATATTGTGTCATCTACAACTAAAAATTAAAAACAAAGAAAACATTAGTTTCTATACAATGTTTAAAGTGCAATGTCCATTGCTTTTAAGGATTTTTCCTTTGGCAGAAACAAATAATTTGAAGTGTTAATTAGACTTGTCTGATACCTTGGTTTTCATGGGAAGATATTTTAGTGTTATTATAGAAATAACTTAAGTTAAACATGGATAAATTAGATTTAACATAATGAATAAACATTTCTAAATGTGTTGGTTAGAGGAGATGTCTGATTAATTTGCAAAGTTAAAATACTAAAACATCAATTAAGTATAAATTCAAGTTCTTTTGCATTTTAATTTAATTTTATTTTTTTAAAGAGAGAGGGAGAGAGAATTTTTTTTAAGAGAGAGAGAGAGAATTTTAATATTTTATTTTTTAGTTTTCGGCAGACACAACATCTTTGTTTGTATGAGGTGCTGAGGATCGAACCCGGGCCGCACGCATGCCAGGCGAGCACGCTACTGCTTGAGCCACATCCCCAGCCTACATTTTAAATTTATAAGGTAACATATTTGGTTTTGTTAAATGTGTTTTTATACATTGGTAAATTTTAAAAAATGGTAATATTCCTTGTTTCTGGGTCTTAAACTAAAAGTAAGGTTACTATGAGTTATTACACCTGCTAATTCTTTCTTTAATGAATTTTTTTTAGTTGAACATGGATATAATACTTTTTTTTATTGGTTGTTCAAAACATTACAAAGCTCATGATATATCATCTTTCATACATTTGATTCAAGTGGGTTATGAACTCCCATTTTTACCCCAAATACAAATTGCAGGATAACATCAGTTATACACTCACATTTTTACATAATGGCATATTAGTGACTGTTGTATTCTGCTATCTTTCCTATCCCCTACTATCCCCCCTCCCCTCCCCTCCCATCTTCCCTCTCTACCTCATCTGCTGTTGTTCAATTCTCTCCCTTGTTTCCCCCGACATAATACTTTTACTTTATTTTTATGTGGTACTGAGGATTAAACCCAGTGCCTCACATGTGCCAGGCAAACACTCCACTACTGAGCCCTAGCCCCAGCCCTACACTTGTTCAGGTGTAATTCTATATGCATACAAAAAGTTTCAGCTGTATTTTGATTAAAGTACTGTAAAGAGTGAAGTATTTCATCTTATTATAAAGGTATGCCAGGCACAGAGGAAGACGCCTGTAATCCTAGTGGCTTGGTAGGAGGATCTCAAGTTCAAAGCCAGCTTCAGCAACTTAGCAAGGCACTAAGCAACTTAGTGAGACCCTGTCTCTAAATAAAATATTTTTAAAAGGGATAAAGTGAGACCCTGTCTCTAAATACAATATTTTTGAAAAAGCTTAAGTGGTTTGGGAGGCTGAGGCAGGAGGATCTCAAGATCAAAGCCAGCCTCAGCAAAATTGAAGTGCTAAGCAACTCATTGAGACCCTGTCTCTAAATAAAACACACAAAAAAGGGGCTGAGGGTGTGATTCAGTGGTAGAGTGCTCACCTCTTTATATGTATTTGAGTTGATAAATCTGTGAGTCTTTGTGGATGTAAAATAGACCACAAAGATATTTTAGTGGTATTATAGAAATTACATTTCTTGGTTCAAAGTTATTATACAAACTATTTTTTGGTCCTATTCATTTCATTTTGTATTTTCCTTATAGAATTTTGTAAGTGTTGCCTTTATTTGTATGTGGTGCTGAGGATCAAACCCAGCGCCTCACACGTGCTAGGCAAGCACTTTACTGCTGAGCCACAACCTCAGCCCCAATCTGTTGGATGTTTAAAACCCAAACTTAGAAACCACAGTTAAGCAACTAAAAGCCAAGGAAAAAGCAGCCAATATTTGGCTCTTGCGCTTTCTTTAGAGTCAGCCAGGATCCAGGGAACGCGGGACTCCTTCTAAGGGCACTGTTTCCTGATCAAGGTGGAGAGAACAGGAAGCCAACCAGTGCACATTTGCAAAGAATAGGGTCACTGGAGAGGGAAACCACATGTGGTCTGCAAGACCCCAACTCAATTTGGCAGATGTTACAATTAGTAGAGGAAAAACTAAAGGAGCCAATAAACTTCTCACTAGTTCCCAAGAATGAACCGAATCTCAACGGTTGGTAGGAAAAAAATCAATTTTGACCAACTTGGTCTTAAACATTTGGCAGGAGAATATAACCAAAACATAGCCATACATGGGCTTTTTTTTTGTTGTTTTTGTACTAGGGACTGAGCCAAAGAGTACATAATAATTGAGTCACACTACCAGTCCTTTTTTATTTTATTTTATTATTTTTTTAGTTGTAGCTGGACACAATATCTTTACTTTATTTATTTATTTTTATGTGATGCTGGGGATTGAACCCAGCACCTCACACGTGCTAGGTGAGCGCTCTACTGCTGAACCCCAGCCCCAGCCCCAGCCCCTTTATTTTTTATTTTGAGAAAGGATCTTACTAAATTTTTTAGGGCCTCGATAAACTGCTTAGGTTGACTTTGAACTTTCAATCCTCCTGCCTCCACCTCCCAAGTTGGTGGGATTACAGGAATACACCACTGCACCAGTCATACATGGACATTTAAAATAAGACGATGGTTCCATTACTGTTACCTCAGATGCATATTCGTATCAGTCCTCCTGAAATTAAGTAAAACTGTGAGGTTATAAAGGGAGGATTTTTATACAGGAGTGCCTGATAAAATATCACAAAAATCTCCGAGTCACAAGTTTTTTCTAAGTCAATTTGCGACCTACAAATCTTCCTAACTCTTCCATAGGCAGACTTGACCTGTGTCTCTGTTTTGTTTTTTGTTTTTTGCTAGCACGATTATAAGCTGCCTTCAGACTCTTCTTTTGGAGTTCTCAGTTCATCACTTCAAGCTTGGCAACTTGATTTCAATCAAGACCTGAAAAGAGGACAAGCTTTGGGGCTGGGGTTGTGGCTCAGTGGTAGAGTGCTCGCTTAGCATGCACAAGGCACCAGGTTCGAACCTCAGCACCACATAAATGTAAAATAAAGATATTGTATCCACCTAAAGCTTAAGAATAAATATGAAAAAAAAGAAGAGAAGCTGAAAAGGACTAAGCTTACCAAGTGTTCCTGATCACCAGGATAGCTATCTAAACTGCTGAAGAGGAGAGAATCCATGACTGTGGGCAGTTTCCACCTCAAAAAGTAAACATGTCTAGATGGATGGCAATACCAAAAGGTACAAGAACAAAAATGAAAATGAGACCAAAAGGTATAAAAAGAAAAAAAAAAAGGGAGACTTGTGAAAAATAGAAAGTTCGGTGGTCCACTTTTCAGAATATAGTATTTAGCCTTAATTGGGTTATAATATCCAATTATAGCCTCGTTTAATTACAGCCCTTCCCTCTGCTTGCCTCAATTTAATAAAATCAGCCAATCGTAGATTGTAACTCCAAGCTCCTTCCATCAGAGCAAGGGGCAGAGCTGCTCTAGAGATAAAAACACTGAAGGGTGCTTCCTCCCAGACTGGAAGGAAAGTTGGCCTTACCGAGCTGCTTCCAAGCACGCTTGGTCCGTTCTGGCCTCCCGGTGTTTCTACCAGCCAGTGTGGAGCCTCTGGTACTGTGGCTGGAGCCGGGTCTCCCTGCATCGCTCAAGGTGTATGGAGTAGCTGGAGGAAAGAAAGAAAAGGGGCAAAAATGAAATTAAAAGTATGTCTTGGGAGGGTTAGGCCCTTCTCTCTGTCAGAATCATAGTGGTATAACCTCTTCTGTGTCTGGCTCATTCCACTCACCATTTTGTCTATATCCATGTGCTTATTGTTGAGTGATTCCATGGTATGGATGCAGCACAGTTGATTTTTCCATCCTCCTGTTGGACAATGGGTTATGATCAGATATTAGCCATTAAATGAAATCCCTGTGAACATTTGTGTAAAAGTTAGGCTTAAAATTAGGTTTTCAATTTTCTTAGGTAAAAGCTAGAAGTAAAATTGTTGTATCCTAAGTTGTCTTGCTTCATGTCTCCACCAGCAATGCATGAGTCACTAGGGTTCCACATTCTCATCAACATTCAACATTCAAAAATTTAGTGGGTTTTTTTTTGGTACTGGGTGCTGAATCCAGGAGTGCTGTACCACTAAGCCATACCCCTAGAAAAACTTTGTTCTAATTAGTTATACATGAGAGGAGATTGCAAACCACAGCTCTTTTTATCTAATTATTTTGATACTGCTGCCTCTGACCCCTGAGCCACTCCTGAGATTACAGGCCAGGACTGCTGTGCCTGGCCAAAGCATTTTTAAAACTATTTTTTTTT